CCGCCGCAGCCGCTCGCGGCTAGCGCTCGCACGCTTTGGCGGCGGTGGCGGTGGCGGCGGTCCTGTGCAGTTGCGGCGCGCTCAGCGCCCCGTTGACTCCGAGAGTGGCAAGGGGGCTGGCTATGCCTTGGCGGCCGTTGTCGCGCAGGCACGTTTGGCGCAGCGGGACGCGTGCACAGGGCCGCCGCCGTTGGCCGCACTCAGCGCGCCCTGCGACAGCTGGGGAGCGGATCGCAACAGGTTGCAGCAGCGTGAACCGCTGGGCCGCCGCGGTGTCGGGCAAGACGGGGCCGAGCTGAGGCTGGCGGTCAGCGAGCTTACTAGGGCAGGCGGCGCCGCGGCCTCCAACGGCGCGCCTGCCGACGGCGCGGGGACGCCATCAACGCCCGGCTCGCGGCACGGCTCGGGGGCCGATGCGCCGCGCGCCGCCGAGGCTGCGGCGGCGGCCTCTGCACCAAGCGGCGCGTCGCCGCGCTCGGGCGCAAGGGGGACCGGACGGCGGGGGCGGCCGCGGATGCGGCGCGGGGACTCCCTTTTTAACCACCTGCCGGCCTGGCGGCGCGTGCCCGCGCAGTGGCGGCATCGATGGCAGCTGTTCAATGCCTTCGTCGACGAAAACCCGGACTACGCGGACTCCGTCGCGCACGCGTGAGGGGTGCCGGGCGCACGGCGGACGCGTGGGGCCGCTCGCGCTGGGCGCGCAGTGCTGTGCAAATGCTGCTTGCACGCGGTCGCGGCGCATTCGTCCTAGTATTGCCTGCCCGGCATCCACCTGCACGTGGCCTTCGCTTATAAATCGCCGCCCTGCCGACGCTGTGCTGACCAGCAGTTGACCTGAAAAGTTTACCCCCTCTTCATGCTCCGCTGCAGATTGAACAAGTGGGTGGCCATTATTCAGTTTTTGGCCTACAATCTGGCGGTGTTCGTCATCATTGCGGTCGCGTCGCAGTACGGCGCCCGCTCATAGGGGTCGTACTGCCAGGCGCCCTCTTTAGTGTGCTGCATGAGCTGCAGCCGGCACCCAATGGGGCATCTGCGAGCCAGGATTGCCAGCTTTGACCTCTGAATAATCCCAGCAATTTCAAGACGATCACTTTGAATTACACTATTTTGAGCATTGGTCTTGATGCTTGTCAAGAGACTTGTGGATGTGGAATGCTCGATGCAAATGCACATGCCCGGCTCACTATCTCCGGCCCCGTCCTTTGCACATGCACCCTCAATGGCGCCAGCCTGAGCGCACGAGTGACGGCCTGCCGCGGCCCATGGCCAGCCAAAGCTTCGCGCTTTGCGCGCCCTCTTACCTCCTATATGGTAGCTTATGCTGCCTTTGCCACCAGCTCGTCAGACTCCGCGATGGCGGCTTCCGCACCGGCAACGATGGCAGCTGCTATCAGTTGCAAGCCCCGGGCAGTGGGACACGGTCCCTGATGCCACTCTTTACACAAGTGATGCACGTTATAGGTGTGGCCTCAATGCACCCCCAGCTGACGCACCACAGGCCAGCATCAAGTATCGTCAAGCATGGCGCTGCCTTGTTGCCCCCTATGCATGTCCATGCCCCGTATGCCCAAGGAGGCTTTTTCCAGGCTGCGATCTCGGATACTGCTCGCGATCAACCCTGTGGGGCTCCATAACCCTGCAGGAAGTAGGGAATGCTGGCGGGTGCGTTGTATTGGTCATAACCGTACTGCGCGCACGCTGCAAGCGCTCTCGCCGTTGCACAGTCCTCCACGGCCGATGGGGGTTCTGGATATGAGGCATTTATCACAGCGGGCGAGGATGATCCCCCCGCTGCGAAAGAAATCTGCACCCAATGGTGTGGATGAGGGTGGCACAGATTGTGTCCTGGCCGGGTTGGGGTGTGCATGCATGCAGTCAAACTATTACTCATAGGGGCTAGTAGCCCCTTCGAGGCGACGCTTTGCAGCGTGTCGTCGCCTTTGTGTGCCGCCCTGTCGCCGCCTTTGTGGACTCGTGTGTGTATCTTTTGTCGCGTCGGGTGTTTGTGTGTGTTTGGGTTGTTGAGTGCTGCTGTTGGCGGTTGCCGGTGCAGTCTGAAGGCAAGGCAAACCCGCCCGAGAGATGATGCCGGGATGTTGATGATGATGATGATGATGATGATGATGATGATGATGATGATGATGATGATGATGATGATGATGATGATGATGATGATGATGATGATGATGATGATGATGATCCTTCGATTTGATTACTGGATCGCCGGTGCAGCTGCTGCTAATGTTTGTTGAAGCTGCCCTGATGCGTCGTGTACAAGTCCTGCCTAAGTTGCCCTTTGGTACGGACGCCTGCATTTGGTCTCGCATACCTCAACACCTCAAGCTTTGTGGGTGCGCAAACTGAACTTCATATGCCATGTCGGCCCCATGCAGATGCTCTCCTGCTTTGCTCCCAGAGTGGTTCTGACCACGGTAGGGGTGCGCTGACTTTGTGATGTGGGGTCGACCTCGCTTGCTGTCGCCGCCGCACCACCGCGCCAAAAGCATTTGTTGTGGTCAACCAACAACCGCCAGGCAGCTTCCCCCGCACGATGCGTGCATACAACATTGTAAATTGCTGTCATCAGTCTGGCAAATGCGGCGGAAAATGTTCTTTTGCCAGGCAACCCCTGCATACATGTTAAACCGCATGTACAGCCTGGGTCGGCCATCTGCAGTATTCCTGACCCAAGCTTGCCGTCACGTGCGCATAGAGCAAACTAGGTCGTTCACCCTGCACCTGTTCCAATTTCTGTAGTCTTACACCTTCTTGCTGTTGATTGCAACAACAAGCACATGCAACTACTTCACAAACGCACATGCTCCCTTCATGATTATAAATAATTTCTGCTGTCAAATCACACTACATAGCATGAGAAACGCAGTCACACACACTCGACTGGGCGGCAAATGACCACATGACAGCACCTATATCACGCCTAGCATCGAAGCCTGCAGCCAGGAACAATGTTGAAGTGCCTCATGGGAAGCTCCGTTCGCAATGAGCCACCGCTGGCTACGTGCGAGCCGCCTGACGCGTCGCCGCCGCTGCCGTCACCGACTCGACAGGTGCAGAGTCCTTGAGCCGCGAGGCCACCTTGGGCCCCGACTCACCCACTGCGCCGCTGGTGTTTGCAACGCAGCTGCCATTGCCGCTCGCAGGCCCCGCTGTGGTCTCCGCTTTCCCGCCCAGCGCCGCTGCACCCATGCTCGCCGGGCTGTGTGTAGGCACGGCCGCCGTGGCGGGGCCGGGCGCCGCGGCCGCAGCTGCCCAAGTCTTGTGCAGCTGCCGGTGTCTTGACACGCGCCACCAGCCTCCCAACAGCTCTTGCCTCGACGCCGGCCTGCTGCACCGCGCCTGCTGCTGCTGCTGCTGCTGCTGCTGCTGCTGCTGCTGCTGCATCCGGCACGGCTAGGCGTCCTTATCAAGCATGGTGTTCTTTGGGGCATCCCCGTAGGCAGTCGTGCCGCAGCCGCGCGCCACCTCGGTCTCCCTCTCCGCATAAACCCTGAACCGCGGGGCTTCGCATAAACCCTAACAATACTGCTACACCCAGCGCAGGGCCTTGAACCCAGCATTGGTCAACAGCTTGCCCGCGCCGCGCATGCCACGCGACGGCGCGGGCTACGACCATTTGCCCCCAGACAGGGCCCCCGCGCAGGGAGGCCCCCGGGATGCGCCGGTCGCCGGGTCAGCTGCTGCAAGCCGCTCGTGTGGTTAAAAAGGCCGAGATGCCAAGTGCCAGGCCCGAAGCCGCGAACACCAGACCCTCAGTTCTTTTAGGGTGACCACAGTTACGGCACCCCCGCATGGTGATCGTGAGTAGCATGTCCCCCGGGCATCAGGTGGGGGCCCTAGAGCCCCGACCCGCGGACCCGGGATCATCCATCCCCAGACTCAGGCCAGCAGCCCGCATCTGGTTTGCTGGCTTGCAAGGCTGATGCCTGGGCAGAACGCCTGGCTGTGCCATGACCCGTTGGTTTGCAGGTGTCTTCTTCGCAAGCAGGTGTGGGGACGAGTGCGATGCGCAGTGAGCAGGCATGCAGGGCTGGCTCTGCATACAGCAAATTGCAGTTTGCGCCTTGCAGCAAGGCTGCCGCTGCGCACGCGCGCAGCGTCGCTGCTGGTGCAGCGCGGCGCACCGCACGAGCGACATGCACACCTGAGGATCACGGACAGCATCGCTGATAATGATTCTTGTGTGCTGCAGGCTGTACGGTAGTACACACGCGTTACTGTAACGCACCAAAGCGCAGTCCGACTTAAATTCTGCACCGTCGCACCAAGCTGCGGGCCTCACCAAGATCCCACAAAGGAGCCGCGCACGTATATGTTACAGCTCCCGCCACATGGGTAGCAGACTGGCTCGTGTTGTCTCTGTGGGACAGTATGCTGTTCAGATGCTGCTTGGGCCGTGCTTGCACCGTGATCCTAGAAATATTATAAATACATAGACTCGTGGTGTTCGTTCCAAGTGTGTAATGATAGTTTTGCGGTGATAGTCTCGGTTTTGATGGTTCATGACTGGTCAAACTCAGCATCTGGAAGGGTGCTAGAGAAGTCCGCGCGCCGTGGGTACGATGGGCGGGCATGTTGTGCGTGCAATGGGCGGGCAAGATGTTGACTGATTACTCCCTGCCAGCTTTCGGACGGCGGGGGGGGCTGTCAGTCAGAGCCGGCGGCGGGGCGTGCGGGGGGCCAATGGGGGGCGCATATAGGTTTTTGGGGCGCGTGCGAGCGTTTGGCAAGGCCTGAGAAGGCATCGGCGGCCTGGGCCGCGCGATTTCGGCACGCATTCATTTCGGTCGGCGGCTGAGTTTTCAGGAATCATGCTGAATTGCGACAGCTAAGAGTGAGCTGCTGCATTGATTTACATCAACATGGTCACAGTGCCAGCACCTTTCACATTTACTCCCTGCACTGGATAGAGTGAGCAGGTGACCCCAGCACGCACTGGTAGACGTGTGGTTCAAGCAGTGCTAGTGAGGGGAGGCTGCAATTGCAGGTGACCAGCCCATCTGCGAAGCGGTGGTCTCCAGGAAGCAGCAGACCCTTGGCAACAAGTGCGCCCTGCGTTCACCCCTTTGCAACGTATTGCATGCATTATTCAAGAAAGACAAGGATGACAAGCTTTTGCATGTTGATTTACGGGTGATGATTCATGGACTGGGGTGTATGGCAAAGACCGTGCTCGACAAATTGCACCCATCATCACAGCCAGGTGCGCCTGCGAAATCCCAACACTGGACACGAGGTCATCCTTGTTGGAGATGTGGTGGTGTCTGACTGGCTCTCAAGGTCACCACATGGGTGCCTTCTGCGAAGCGCAGTGCCGATGTGTCGGAAGGGCAACAACAGCTGATGCCAGCTGCCAGCACAACCGTCGTTTTTTCTCAATGCGGATGGATGCTGGATGGGACACATGAATGATCATAAGAAGCATGTTGATTTTTAGTCCGTGTGTCCGGCCTCGCAACGCACTCAACCTGCACAACTCACCACAGATCACCCGAAACACCGGCAGCCCGGGTTAGAGTGTAGCGCGACTCAGCCGCATTGCACAGATCAATTAGACGGCTCGTATGGCTCACAAGCAGCCGCACGCCGAGTTCGAGTTTTTCGGCCCGCATGGGCTTCACCACAGGCACCAGGTTGCGCCCACTGTCGCTGGGGTCTCCTGTACACGCACATGCGCATGCTGTTTGCCTTTGCCCCTCGTCACCACCTTTCTGCAAACCGCGATCAAACCCTTTCCGTCGCTCTGCTTTCTGACGTTGCGCTCTGGCGATTCTTGATACGAGTCCCGACGGAATAGGCACGGGCAGAAATACCCCTGTCGCTCTGTGCACCCTGCTGCTTCCGCACACGCACTTGCACGCACTGCGCAATCCCGGTGAGATGGCGACGGCGAACTTCGACTTTCAGGTAGTTGAAGCGTTTCTATTAGATAATAGCCTGGAAAAGTTGAGTTTCTGTATACCCCGTGCATCAAGCATATGGCTGAGTGCCACACCCGCACTCCTCCTGAGAACCAACAATGCACGAACATGCACGCAACAACCAGCTGGCCATTTCGCGCCTAGGCACCGGCGACCTGGCAAATTGGTATTTGATGACCAGGCACTCTTCTGTCCGGGCCACATGGCGTAGGAGGACCTGCAGCGGGTGGCAATGCCGCGGGTAAAAGCGCAAGCACCGCTGCCTTGACTGCAGACGGCTGGGTGGACTCTTGGGGCTACGGTCCAGAGTCCTTTTCCGGCCTCCTCACTGTTGCTGCGTGTCCATCAAGCTGTGAAACCCCTATGGTTACGCCTCTTTAGGACCTTCGTGGGCCTCGCTCCCAGGGTTGGCAGTGGCGATCGTGCACAGCGACATCGTGCGATTTGCGCAGTGCCCTGTCAACATACTCCCCCGGCGTAGCAATTCGGCACAACCCAGGGTGACGCCGGGTTACCACCCCTGACCCCGCACAAGATACGCGCGCCGCGACGACCTGGCACAACCTGGCGCAACCCTCTGGGTTCGGCAGGTTTACTTGCGAGGCCTTGCTTTGGGGTGGGTTGAAAGCAAAAATTTCAAAGGGGTTTCCATTGAACTGTGAATGTTGAACAGAGTTGAGAAGCCGCAAAAGCGCCAGGGCGCCCATCCACCACACGGGCACCGAATGGAAGCCTTGTGGACATTGATAACGCATCAAGGCATCCACCAGAGCATGCAAGGTTGAATTGAAGGCCTGACAGCTCCTGAGCTTGGATGATGTTCTGCTTGTTTGATTCACAACCTCCTGTGGGATATCATGTATCATTGAGTGAAAACATTCAACAAGCCTGACAGTGAAAGCAATGCAGATCCAAGAGGTAAATGCACGTAACCCGAGCGCCATCGAACGCTGATGCGCATGCATGCAGGCTCGGCAAACACAACAACTTCGAGCCAACCTGGTTTGCTTGTTGTAATGCAAAGAGCTTTCGATTGTCTAGTTAAATTGAAATCAGAAAACATATGCACGGAATTGTTTCGAGAGCAGCAAGGCAATCCTCAACATCATTGCTGGTACCAGCACAGGGCCTTGAACCCAGCACTGGTCAACAGCTTGCCCGCGCCGCGCTGTTAGGCGACGGCGTGGGCTACGACCATTTGCCCCCAGACAGGGCCCCCGCGCAGGGAGGCCCCCGGGATGCGCCGGCCGCCGGGTCAGCTGTTGCAAGCCGCTCGTTTGGCTGAGGCCTCCAGTGCCAGGCCCGAAGCCGCGAACACCGGGCCCCTACTCCCTTGAGAGACCGCATTCACGGCACACCGCATTAGAAGCCTGTGCAGCATGTCCCCCGGGCATCGGGTGGGGACCCTAAAGCCCCGGCCCGCGGACCCGGGATCATCCACCACAGACTCAGGCCAGCAGCCCGCATCTGATCGGCTGGCTTGCAAGGCAGACGCCTGGGCAGAACGCCCGGCTGTGCCATGACCCGTTTGTTTGCAGGTGTCTTCTTCGCAAGCAGTTGTAAGTATGTCCAGTGCACAAAGAGCAGGCATGCAGGGCTGGGACCACATACAGCAATCGGGCGCCTTGCAGCAGGGCTGCTGTAGTGCCGTTGCAGCATGCGGCCGCTGCTGGTGCAGCAGAGCACGGCTCACCGCGTATGAGGCATGCGCCCCAGAGGATCTGCAACAGCAGCTATTCTTTCAATGTTCTGTCTTCTGCAGGCGTAGCACACACGCAGTAACACACAAAACCGCAGTTGAAATCGTGGACCATTTGCAAAAAGTCGAGGGTCTCACCGCGAGCCCGCAAGAATGATAAAAATGAGCGCGTTGCGCCAGCTCCCACTGGCAACTCGCCGTGATAGCTGTTATTGGACCTGATCAGAGTGCTGTTCTGATGAAGCTTGGGCCGTGCTTGGGCATAAAACTGGGTTATGCTGTATACACATCACTTCATTTGCATTGTGGATTTTACCAGTCCTGACTCAGCAGTAACAAGGGTGCTCGCCGGCGCTAGCTCAAGTGCCGTAACCACTGGGTGCGCTTAGTGAGTGCCGCTTGCCGCCACCAGTGCGATGCCGAGACCAAACCTTGCCGTGCGGGAACGGTTGCATGCTGACACCTCACTGTTTATCTGCACATCACCTGACGCAGGCACGGCATGTGCGGTGTACCCAGCAGCTGATGACGAAAAGCGCACAACCAAGCAGCGACGCTGGCTGTAAGGGCAGTCCTGCTGTGCGCCAACAGCTGCACGGGAGCTCACCATTGCAGGCACGGAGGTGCTGAAAAGCAAGTGATGCTACAGCGAGCAGGTGTGATGGACGCATGCCTGGTCCGTGGCGGCCGCGAAAGCCCAGAGCACGAGCCGGCGGGCTCTATGGCGTGGGGAGCGCCGGTGCAGCCTCTGTGGACGTAAACCGAGTGGGCGGCGACCACTCCTGCAAGGACTGCAGCATGAATTAGGCATATGGAGCCTGCATCCTACGCAGCAGCAGCAGCAGCAGCAGCAGCAGCAGCAGCAGCAGCAGCAGCAGCAGCAGCAGCAGCAGCAGCAGCAGCAGCAGCAGCAGCAGCAGCAGGACGGGGCTGACGTGTCGCGGACAGCAGCTACAGCCCGCAGACCTGCAGGATAGGGTGGGGGGGGGGCAGGTGTAAAAATGCAAGTAGGTCCAAAGCGCGGCGGGACAACAGCAGCCGTCTGCAGCGCCGTAACCAACTCAACAGGTCTTATGGCTGAGTGGAAGCAGCAGTTGCCGCTGCCCACGGCAGCGGCAGGAGGAGTCAAAGGAGCGAGTGTAGCATGTTGGCGCAGCAGCATGCGTCGCCCGAGCCAGTGAGCGCCTTCCACACTGACGGCTCACAGGGGAACGGGCGAAAGAGCGGCGACCAGCCCTGGGCCCCGGTGGCGGCGATCACTGGCTACGCCGCGTCCTTCAGGCCTTTCCCGTGAGAGCTTGCGGCGTACTCACAAGCAGACAGCGCTCACTGCAGGGGGTGAGTCGCACAGCCACATGGGGGCTGCAGGGTTGTGGGCGTGTGGCGTGCGGGGTGCGGCACGTCCCCAAATGGCGGGGTTATCTCTGCCCGTAAGTTGCACGTGCTGACGACGCGCACCTCCCTGCCCACTCCTTGCCTTGCCGCCGCGTGCCTACCATGCACCCCGGGTGATTGGTGTGGGCCACTGTCGCAGAAGCGGACGGCGCGGCCGTGTCGACTACCTATTTGCATGCTAGCAGCGGCTCAGGTGCTTCAATAACGCAGCCCGTCCCTGGCGCATCCCTGCCCCGCTCTCGCTGTTGCGGCGCCCTCGCCCCCGCGGCTGGCCTCGCTACAAAACGGCCATGATCCCCTTTCCGCAGGATGCCCCCCTCCAAAGTGAATCAACTCATCAAACACTGCTTTCCTCCCTGTTCCTTATCCCACTAGTTATGATTTTGCCTGACAACCCACACCCGGCGCAACTGCCGCTGAAGTTGCATCCCCTGCACCAAAATCTCAATCCATTGTTGATGCAGAACTGATTAGTTCTGGAGCCTCATGAGGCTCCTCCACAACAAGCCGCCAAGTACATTGACAGCGGCGTGCAGGACGCTACGGGTTGCTGGAATTTTGACAGTTTTGCGATTTCCGCCGACTGAAGCTGGCGTAGCCCAGCGGGCGGTGATAGGTGGGCCAGAAGAGGTTTGGCGACGGGCGCCGCTGCGGTGTACTGAGGCGGCAGCGCAGCACTAACGAACGGTGTCTTGATCGAAGTCGCCTTGTCCCGAGTGCTTGCACAGCTTCAGTGCCGACAAACAGCACAGTTTTGGGCACGTGACTTGTGTGTGAAATCTGTCTGTCTGGTTTGGTCGTGTGATCTGGAGAATTCACAACAGTAACATCCGCAGGGTGGGGCATCTCTCACATACAGCAGCACACATGCCACTCAACAAACACACACACACACGCGTGTCACCCCCACGCCGCCCACTCTATCGTCGCCTTGTACACACGTGCGCGCCACAACGGGGTGCTTGCATCGTGCCCAGGCGTTGGTGATGTGACAACTCTAGACTTGACGGCTAAGGGGGGTCTCCTTTGCGAGCGGCGCATCACAGGCAGACCTGCAGCGCACGGTCAAGGCCGCGGTTGATGATGAGCGGGCTTCCTGGACGGCAGCGGGCCGGCTGACTGCAGGCAGGTGCTAGGAGGCGCTGGGACGCCACCTGACGAGAGCTGCGTGGCCCTTGCTGTGGTGTAGAGGCGTGACAAGCCATGCTTTTGGAACCCTTGTGGTCCAACCTCAGGAGGCGGCTGTGTGTAGTTGCAATCAGGGCAGAGCGCCCCAATCCTGACGCACTTGACGCACTGGGGGTGGCCTCCGCTTGCGGCCAGCCTCCCGGGCGTTCAACGGGACTGCACTCACTATCTTTCAGTCTTTGGGGTCCCCCACCCTTGAATGCTACACCCCACCAACCATTGTCAACCCCAGTCAAGCCAAGGCGGACCGCTCGAGACCCCCTTTCAAAAGCAGTTAACCACCCCTTCCTACTCTCTCCTCGTCTCTCCCCCCCCCTCCCCGGGGCCCCAGGGCCTGGATGCCACTGACGTGCACAACAAGCTGCGGCAGGAGCACGCATTGCAGGACGGCAACGGCAAGGTGCGCGCCAGAGTGTCGGCGGCAGCGTCACGCCGCCTCCAGCCTGGTCTTGTTGCCCTAAGGCCACTCGTGGCCGGCATGCATGGCCACTGCCTACGCTGCGCTCGCGCTTGCAGCAGCGCCTGATCAACGCCCAGCTTTCTTTGAATTCTGCAAGAACACCGTCTTTCAGGAGTGCACGCAATGCGGTAGCAGCGCTGCAAGCCGTAGAACCTGCATCTTTCGTGTCTTCTTGCCCTCACAACCCCCACCTCGCAACACAACATGCAACAGAACTTTGGGGCGGACGTCAACAACGGCGGCGTCTGCAACACGTTTGACTCATTTGTGTGGAAGCCCGCGCTGGTCAAGATCAACGTCATCCAGTCAGCCACCGAGGCCGCCTGCCTCATCCTGTCGGTGGACAAGACCGTGCGGAACCCAGCCAGCAAGGCGCCAGACGTTGCGGCGATGGGCGCCGGCTGCGGCGGCACGTGCGGGTGTGGGGGCCGGCGGCCGGGGGCGCGTGTGCCGCACGGGACAATGACGCTGGGTGCAAGCAGCCTGGCGGCGCATCTGGCGGCAGGGGTGGCAGCAGCAGAAGGGCGCGCCTGCGATGTGACATGCGGCAGATGAGGGTTGCTCACTGGGTGCGCCCATCGCTGCACATTGCATGTCATTTTCCCTTGATTTCAGCCCTGCTAGTGTGAGGCGGGTTTGCGGTCATGGTGGATTCAGTTCTGTGCTTGGACCGATCTTGGGGCAATGCACACTTTCTTTGTGCTTTGCATGCTGGCTGCCACACTTGAGGGCCCTGCAGGCCTGGTGTTGAGGAAAACCTGTCTAGGAGGGTCACGGTAGGTACTTTGCCGCGGGCAAGCCGTGCCAGCAGTCACAATCACAATCTATAGACAAACGGAAACCTCTCTGGCATCGTTTGTAGGCTCACCCTATCCATCACCTGTGTGTACTGCCGCACTCCCGGGCTGCCCAGCAGCAGTGCCCGGCGGCAGCACTCAATGCAGCCATGGCCGTGTCCTTCCCAACCGCTCCTCATGCAACATTTTACAAAACACCTGATGTTCATTACATGTAAGCTTGACAAAACTGAATCACGAGCGGTCATTGTACATCAATTTTTTCCATTCCAAATTCACAAGGGTGTGTATGCCACGAAGTGCAAAGCAGGCAGTACTTGAGACCAATCTACCCCATGGCTGGGCAGCTCCTGTGCCACCCTCCGTCACCGATTTGCTAGGAATCCGGGTATAGTGTTCCACCCTGCTAGATTTCTTTGTGCATTCAAGACACAAAATGGGTTTGTTGACTGGTTTTGCTGGGTAGCAGGCGCTGCCTGCGCGACTCATTCATGACACCGCACCACATCAGGCCCTCTCCGCGCTCCATTGTTGCTTGCGTTGGGCAAACAACAGCCCTCTGCAAAGCCACTCACTCCTGGCACTCCCAATCCAATTGCATGGCCATGCCTCAACATCCCACTCCTGCTGGTCAGCCGCCCCCCCCCCCAAAAACACAGAGTGCTGCCTCCACCTGTCCCACAGCTCTCGCCCCGCCCGCCTTGTGCCGCCCCCACCCCTGCCGCCAGCCGCTCACGCGCTCTCCTCCCGCGCCTCTGCCAGCAGCGCGGCGCCCGCCCTGTAGACGGCCTCCGCGGGGCTGGGGGCGGCGCGCGAGGCGAGGAATGCGTGCCGGCCCGTCAGGATGGCCTCCTCAAACAGGTCCCAGGGCTGAGGGGGTGGTGCACGAGAAGCGGGGGTGGGATGGGCAACGAAGATGTCGGGGCTGCACAGCTGAGGGGGGGCATGTGACTGCAGGTGTTGCTGCTCGGAGGCGTTAGTTTGGGTGGTGCGCATGGACGCGTGTTTGCTCGGGCAGCGGCCAGGTAAGAGCGATATGAATCTCCCAGCAGGCAGCAGGGCGGTCCTGCAGCGCGGGCCAGGCTGCCAACACCATGCGGCTTATACATTGCGGGTGCCCGAGCCACCAGGCAGGGCTGGATGGGCGGCGCAAACGCGAATGCACATGCGCCCACCGCTCGCAGCGCCTCGCTCGTCCATTCCGCCAACCAGGGGACGCGCGCGCGGCCCCCTGGCCCTCGCCCTCTGGGCCCGTGATAAGACGCTGCATGCAGCCAT